CAAATTATTTAGGATATAGTAAACCTAGGATACGTTTATAAAGATAGCACTTATAAACAGTAATGTGTTTACGTCCGAATTTGTGATCATTTTGTGTTGAATTATCCTGAATATTTTTTTTTTAAACTGACAGCCATATCTGCTAAACTATCTTGCTCGTATTTTGAATTGTTCCCAAGAGAAGTGAAAGTGAAAATCATTAGATTGACTTGAAGTTAAACATTTATGTTATCAACAAAGAACTGCCTCATGTTTACGATCTAACGAGATGGTACTTTGGATATAAATGCATGTATATATTCATCACATCTGAGTGAGTAGTTCATCCGTTTTTATTTTCATCTAATTAGAAAAAAACCAAATATGCTCAATGCCAAAGGCCATCTGGCACTGGCTATGCACATCTTTAGTCATGTTGCGCTATTCTTACTTGCGAGTGGTATGAATTGCGCTGAATAGAATTATTATGTTTGTCAATCAAATGCTATATTGTTTAAATTCGAATTAAAACGTAGAATTAGATATTTAGAGGTGTTCCCCGGAATTAGTCCAACGGTCTTTATTGTCATAGAAACTCAGATAAACGTCTTGTTCTTTTTGACATGGTGATCAATAGAAATTGAGACAAAAATATTGTATGGAGAGATCGGGGTGGCATACTTGAGAGAATGGCGAAACAATACACAAAATGTATTGATAATGTTTAAATATTGCCATTATGACATGAGAACACACGTTTAAAGCCGAACAACTGTTTCAAAGATTCATCTTTTAGACCTATATGATCTGTGCTGACCAGGAGATAAATCAATGACAACATTTGTTCAGTAGCGAATCTGTGTTTTTATTCTCCCATGATTCAATTAGTACTTAAAGCCTTACACAGTTGTACAGAACAAGTGGCTTAGATCAATGCGTTATCTGTATTTTCCTAGGTTTACAAATTACTATTTCAATAATATCAACTGCAGATTGAATTTATTCGTAAAAGCAAACGATGTGAACTATTTTGTCATAACCAACAGGGGTAGCAAATGCTTTCTTTCCAGTGCGCTGCACATGGACTGAAAATCAATTAGTTTCTTCCGAAAGCATATCTGGAATTATGAGTATGGCATGGATGTTATTGATTATCCACTTTTCTCGTCATTGCCACGCCATTTTCTTTACATCTGCGTCCAGTCAGTGTCATTAGGCGGTGACATTTATGCATATCGACCTATTATTTGGATGTAATTTATTATTATTATTATCGGCGGTATTTCGTCGGAGATAAACATTTTGTTTTTTATCTCATGTTGTTCTCGGTTAGTGAAATCTACTGTGGTTTGGGAGACTTTCTTCAAATTTATTAGCTTCAACTATTCCTGGAATTGATCTTATTGGTGGGTATTTATTTCATACAATTTGGTTCAGATGATTTTGTCAAAACCGGCTACATTTTGGATGGCAACCACCTAGTCCCGTAAACATACAGCCCCATCACGTCGAACAGGCCCAGTATGGATCCCGTTCGAGAGACTTGTTCACTCCCGCGGATACTGCGCTCGAAGCCATGGTTTATTGTTTATTGATTTGGTGGCTTATGTTGATTCTAACAACGGAACAAATAATGTGCAGCACTGGTAAGTTTATTACCATATTAATGCGTTTAGTTGGTATTGTTCACGCCCAATTGATTCACTCTCCCATTATCTCTCTGTTTCCAATAACACAAATAATCGATCACCTACCGTGTCCTCTAGCTGCCAAGTGACTGAAAAACTCAGACGAAAATAATTGAGTAGAACAGCGTTTTTTATCGCTTTAGATAATTTAACCCCGTGCAGGCTACCAACTTGTAGTAACTATTTTATGTTTGTTGCTAACCAATTTTCGATTGAAATGATGCAAATATTTATTGCGACGTTTTGTATGGATCGCTTCCGGGTAAACACTGGCCGGTCCCATCATTTGCTGACAGAGCAAAACTACATCTTTTAATTCGTAGCGTGAAATGATAATATAAGAACCTAAAATTCCTGATCAGACGCTATGCTAAAAGTGTTATCTTATTACTCAGCGGGTCATGGAGACACAGGGCTTTCTGCAGATAGAATCATTTAGCCATAGTTAAAGTGCATCCAAATCTGCAAGTGCGATTTTGTATGGATTATCGCATTCGCATTAAACTCTGATTTGACCGATCAAGTCGGAAATACCACTGAATCACGAAATTGATACAAAATTATTTCTACGTAGTGAGGTTGTACTAGCTCAAGCAGATGCATAATGACTTACATCAAAAAATTCATTGGGGGTGAATGCGGGCAGCATTCCCGTAAAAGTTGACTCCGTGTTAGGTGTCACAGAACCTTCAGTGCACCTGGGACATGTACAAACTAAACATTGCATCAACAGCAAAACGATGTGTAATAATTATTCTTGTGTGTGGTAGTCATGCATACGCAGGCATCGTCTTGATTTCAGCCCCGTGCATTCGAAATACAATATCACCTCTATAGCCAAACTATTAGTAATTTAAGTGGTTGCCTAATGGAGTTCGATTCATCCTCGACTCCTATTCTAGTTCTCTAATAATGGTGCATAAGATCAAATACTGTAAACGAAATATAAACAATGTATATAAACAATATAAACACAATATATTATAAACACATTCTTAGAACGTTTCAGCTCCTTATTCAAAGATTATTAGTCTTATACATTTGTTGAACAATTTACTCAAAAATATACTGATCTTCGTAAGAGCTTTGTTTGGTTGCACAGACGTCTTTTCATATGAGCGAAATGAAAATGTACTCAGGGGTATTATGTACAAATATGAAAACATAATACATAGCGATCTATAGTAACAACGGCCGACGATTGCTTTGTTTTAGTCATTAATTCAACATATTTTTGCGAACAGATCGATAGGGACAAATAGGTGAGATCTGCTTCTTACTTGCTCAACTGTGCTAATCCAACACGAAAAATTTGTGCAGANACCAATTGTTTTCTATCGCCATCTCACTCCGCTTCAAATCCTTCCTGATCACTAACCCCTCAAACTTTATGTCGTCAGCAGTATTCCCTTGGCGTTTCATCTGATTTTCGGGTTCTGTTACCCGGATACAATTGTCTACCTCACATAAAAGTACCTGAAATAAATGGCTTAATTCGATTTTCCCTCTTGAGGGATGTCCTAAAAATAAACTAAGTCTGCAGCGCCCAGTTATAGAAGTATCTTTTGTCCAGTCTTTCGTTTTAATCCAAAACGGTTATAAATCGGGTCAAAAATGTATGCGAATAGCTTATGAATTTACGCCACAAGAAGGCGTTCTATACGCTATTGTTCTATAGCTGTTAGCTGTCTGTGCAGTATTTGCCAGAAATTAGAATGCTGCATTAGTTGCAAAAGGACATGGTTCCATTTCTTTGACGACGTACAACGTAAGCATTCAAGTGACTCTTGTTTCTGGTTCTATGGTTTTTGTATTGCAACTGTTCAGCTTTCCCATGCCACATCCTAGCAACATCTCAAAAGAAACCCTACCAACTGCATATTTTTCCTGTTCCTTAGTGAACACATTGGAAAGTCATCAAATTTACTTATGGTTGTAGATTGGACAGGGAACTCACGAGAACTGCCATCCTTGACTAAATACTGTTTATTTTAGGAAATGATGGTTTTGGCAACTTTTACAAAAACCGTTAGTCGTAAACGGACGCTAGGGCGACTTGCAGATTATCTTCACTTTCATTCAACACGTTATGTTCAGCTCGTGTGAAAGAATTCGACGTTAAACAGTCCTGTTAAATCGCTGTGCAGTTTGTGTGCTAAAGAATAAATTCTAGGTTGTGTGCCCTCGAATGCAGACTGGTGTTAGTTTTAACTGAAATTGCTGCCACAAAGCAAATGGGTAATCAGTCCGTTTTGTTTATAAATGACTCAGTGTTGCGTTAACGTCTCTAGTTCAATAAGGATAGAAATCTGATACTATTCGAAATAGTTTATGGCTTCACAGGTGTGGTCAACCACACCTGAAGTGGTACAATTATAATGCGCAACAATCAACGCATTTTTAACAGGAACGAAGACATATTTGAACGCAAAGTAGTATCGATTGCCTTTCAAAGTAGATAGATTTAGCCTTACACATACGCCTTGAGGCTAGCGTGCATTAAAAGCAGTTCAGCTTTAAAAAGTTATCATTGCTTGTTACAATCAGTCCGAATAAACTGTTTGTATGACGTTTTAATTCCCTACTTTTGTGAAACGATTAATTGGAATCACACATTCTCTNATCTTTTATTCATGGTTTCGTGTCAATCCCTACCTGTTAAGATAAGAAATTTACCATATTGGCATACTTAGGTCTCTACGTCAATCCCATATTTGATACTGTAGTTGTTCGGTGACATTTTTGGTGTTTAATCTTCTCCATCCGTTTGTAAACTGTTTGATCAGATAATGTAACTCATGACACTGCGTGAATAAATATTCCACAATTCAGATAATTGGCCTTAAGCATAAAACAAGGAAGATACATCACGGTTTAGAACATTAACGTTCAGTTTATATACCAAAGCCATTGGATGGTCAAAAGCACTGTATTATAGTGGAGAAGTTTACAGCATGAAATAAATAGCATTTGTTCATTGTCATGCGTTCAGCGTTCCAGCTGCGTTCTGTCAAAAATGTGGCTGATATTCATAGCATAAGGAAGTTTTATTATTCATAAACACGAAATCCCTGTTTTTGTTTGCCCCTCTGCAAGCCCTTCATGCAATTTGCGAATGCAAAATGTTTCACTGTTTGTTAATTTCGTTGGTGCTGATGGATTGGTGAAAGCAATCGTTTTTCTGGTCACGAGGTTCTGTATTCCGACACACTGCGGTTCATTTTTGCGTTATCTATTTTATTATGACATAGAACAAAACAGATTTTATCAATTTCCATATCGTTTTAATTCTATCTCTGATCTTTTTTCACAGACAATCTCAAACGTGAAAACATGAAAACATCCGTGGTTAGGTTCAATTATCCCAAAACTTCTCGCAGATTTGCCCGAGATAGCAATCGGCTGACAACGGAAGGTACAGAAATCACCCGCACCCGGAAGAGCACCCTATCCAGACCGCCGTCTAAAGAGGAGTGCATATCAGACCAGTTTAATTACGCCATTCTAAGAGGTATGCCGGTATCTCGTCTAAATCTTAGTAGTGCAGTTTTTATGCGTTGCCCTGTCCGTTTTCAGAAATGTTTTAAGATACAGGTTAACACAATCAGAGTGAATTTGTCACCGTAAACAACCTTTTAAATACGTTTGTATTCCAATGATATCGATTTGCTTTGTAGTTTTGATCGTCTGTCACCGTTAACGTTTCAAACATTGCCACAAAATGTGATATCACTATAGGATGAACAAAACACAAGATCGAATTAGTTCTTCTTCAAGTTGTTATGTACAAAAGTGTCATATTCAGCTGAAAGTTTTTTCTATATCATTGTGGTGCACATATTCAGTCATCAAAGTTATCGTGCCTCTCATGGAGCCAGCAAAAGTTTATTTATTCAATCCTAATTTGTCATTTTCGTAGTGAGTTGTTGTTGCTGCATATGTTTGGCAATAAAAATCTGAGTGAAGTATACTATTTTGACAGTTTTATCTTTTTGTGTTGTCCAATAAAACCATCAATTATCGTGACAATGTTGATTAACCAGTAAGTTGTAAATCCAAACGCCATCCCACGCTTGCAATGCTTACTTTTAATTCACATGAGGTAAATATAGCTTGTCTCAAAACACCGTCGTATGATAATTTCCATTTGTGCTTCACTTGGAGGTCGTCTCCTGGGTTATTTTTGTAATGTGCTGAACAAAGCTCCCAGTGCGAACAGAGGAACGGCATTGAACTGCGTACGATCAGTTTAAGGAATTTATGGTGTTGTTTCAGTTTGTTTGTTGTAGGCCCGATATGATTTATCTACCAAACAACTCATCCTCTCATCAGACAATTAACCACACAGAGAAAAACGTTCAACCTTTCAGTAGACCACATATTACCGTGTTCGGTTGCGTAGAGGATTGATAACGGGTAAAACATAACAGAAGAGACGGTTCGGATTTCTTAATCTTTTCGCTTGGCCCCATGAGATTTCTGTAGCTGCTAAACAGTCTTCAAGCATTTCACTTCAATTTCAGTCATTTTTTTTGCTGAACGACATTAGTTGCGAAATGTCTGGTATTCGAAGATAAGTTATCTTTCAGTAAGCACGTATTCACACGAATGTGGGGTTTTCAAGAACCATACGTTTTACCCAATGGCAAAGACACTACTGAGGCGTATTCATCCTGCTTCTACCGTTTGTTGAATCAGGAAAATTCAGTGAAAATTACTATTTGTTAAATATTGAGTATTATACGGAGACACGTGGCCATAAACCACGAACAAAAGATTTAAATGTGCCAACCTTTAATGATATGTGAATGTGCTAGTCTTTTCTGTCATTGTTTTCTGATAAACAAAAATGCTTTGTATGATGGCTTCAGAAATACTGAATTTTGTCTAACGATGTGAGCCTCAATCAGAACAGATAAAGGAACTCACATGAGTTGCAGCCTTTGACGGTGTTAGTACGAGAGTGTCATTCGATAACAGTGAATAAATGGAATTTTCAAAAAGCATAGATCCGCCGATTAACAAAGTCATGGGTTAAGTAAAAGGAGGTCTTTCGGGATATTATGAGTTTATTTTTCATTCTCCTATAGACAAAATAACTTTCCGTAAAAGCGGTGTTCACTGCAAGCGGGTTGTTTCATTTGTTCCGCCTCATTGACTTCCAACGTGCAGATTGTGTTCATCTCAAGATGTGGAACGTTCGGCACAATGCTCATCGGCATATTTAGCAGTATGTGGAACTAATTTATATAATAATACACGGACAGGTATCATTCATACAGTATGCGGGAAATATGGATCACACTTAAGATTTTAGTAGGAATGTTTTGGAAGCTTTCAATGACTTAACAATAGGTTTTCCTAGTATAATTCATCCATCAAAATTTAGGTAGTTTTTTTCTCTTTAAAAAACACCAATGAAACTTTTATTTCGATTAAGGACAATTATATTAATTTGGACGGGCCAAACTGAGCGAACTATTCCTCAAATAATGACAGAAGCGAAATGGTAACAGCCAGAATGTAACAAAGAAAATTAAAGCCTTATGCACGGAATCGAATGTGTGACTGTGAATATGATCGAGTGGAAAATGAGGTATAGTATACCAGATAAGTTTTCGATTCCGTCTTCAAGATCATGTTTAGTCATAAGCAAATCGATAAACGTTACCAATAATAATATCCGACAGATTGCGGTTCAAATAATTTGATTAACATAGATTTACACACGACAGGGCTTACCTGATGAATTTCTGCCTCGGTACACAGAATCAGTGAGTGCTAATTTCTAGCAGTTAGCTTTGGTTTTCAACTGAAATCACTTATTGAAGGATGTAATGGATTCCTTCAGATACGTACAGTCTGGGTAACCATTCATGAGTCCAGCCTTTTCAGCTCATCTAAAAAATTTGCTGAGAACGACTGAGGATACTGGGAGTTGTGCTAAACTCATTTATCAATTCCGATAGTGCAACACTGAACTGATATGAAGAAAAGACCATGTTAATGATTACTTCAATCTTTTCCCTGGTTAACTGGGTAACTGAACTTAACTTCCACATTTTCTTACCGTGTTTCACTTTTAACAATAATAGCAATTTACAATTACGATTTCAGGTGCTCCATTATCTGAATTTTTAGTTGATGATCATCGAATGTGCAATCCATTTATTGTCCTAGCGGCCAAGACAATCTTATGATTTGTGTATAGTTCAGCTCCTGTGAACAGTAACTATTGCGATGCACTTTAAATAAATTGTGAAACCATCAGAAAGATAGAACCTTTACAATTAATAAGTTGATTAAAAACTGTCAGTAATCATTTCGAACAGGAGAATCAGTTCCTTTTGATTCATTCTAAACGCAAGATCATAAGATTGTTTTTAATTATGCATGTAACATGACAGAAGAGATATTTATGATCTGGTGATCGAGGATGCTTTTCTCACCAATCAGGTATGCAGAGTCGTTCCAAATTAGGACCTCCATAAGAGCGTTTAACATTCGCATGTAGGTTGCGCGTGTTTGGCAATGTCGAGCAACCACGAAGTCACACGTCCAACCGATCGGAATCACCAGCAATTGGATTTGTATAGGTATAACTAATGTGATCTCATGTGATTGCGTTCCTATAGGAATGAGCAGTGACATTCTGGCATTTTCTTTGGGTTCCACTTGAGATAACTCAGTATATACAGATAAATCGTATTCACTAATAATTGTGGTATGCTCAAGAGCAGTGTAAAAATGAATCCGTAATAATTGAGGAATCGGAGTTTGTTTTCCACCGACAGACAAAAAATATGATAATTATTATGCGTAAGGAAAGTTTTGGAAGTAACGAAAAAGCAAAGTTTAACACGAGTTAGTAGGATCCAAAGGTGATCACTTGGCTGAAAAGTGCGGCAATTTTATCCATGGAGTTCAACCAACAGAATATCCGAATATGTGCATGACTCGTGCAAAAGGATGATTTCATGTGTGCAAAATTTCAGATTAGTAATCGAATGATCCTAGTCATCAATTTCACCAGCGGAGAACCCACAATTCGGAAGATCGTTATTGATATGACTGCTATGTATATAAGAATAACGAAATTTACAGCATGGTGTTTTCCGCAAATTGCGTAATATCTCTGCTTCATTCAACCTTACCTGACAAACGCTTGTGGTAAGTGATTGCAGCCATTCCAGTTTTGTGCTACAAAGAGTTATGTATCTTGTCACGGGAAAAAGCCGGATAGTAACTCTGCAAATTTGCTTCTGATTGTGACTGATAAAAAGACAAATCCATGAAGATAGATGTACACAGCGATAAAATTCCCGATGAATAGAAAAAATAGTCAAATTTGAAGGTCCCGCCCTGAGCATACCAAGCGTATACCGGAAGTAATAGGCAAGCGTTTTCCTGGTCAACGGTTTTTGTTCTCCTGTATTCATTTATACTAAATGACATTCAATGTCTGCACCATTGTATGGATTGAACATTATTTTATTACTTGTTTCTGCAGGCTGTCTATGCTATCTGTTTCAAAGCACTGGTCTTAGCAACGGAACATTTCTGTCGCCAGAATTGGACTTTTTACGCATTAAACAACTGACGTGTTTATTATTCACCTTTGTCGGTGATGTGAACGAAATTGTGCGGCTGGAATTTACTCACTTCCTGCTGGATCCAAAAGACCCGCCCCAGGAAAATTCATCGAAGTAAATAGATATGATATACTTTTTCAACGGCATACAGGTGTTTTCCGCATTATTAAAATTTCAATTTTCACATTGTTTGCCGATAAACAAGCGTTTTCTATCTGAAATTTACCGCAAAACTATTGCGTGTTTTAGTAAGGCTATGCATGACCATAAAACCTCAATATTACTTTAATATTGATATGCATACCGCGTGATATGTTTATGGCGTATATTTATATTGTTGAACTCCTTTCTAACGTTTGCAAGTAGAATATTCCGTAATTTTACCTTCATCCACTTGAAGACATTGAAGTAGTATTTGTCATTCCTATAATTGTTTTTTCCGTCTACTCGTGATAAGAACTGTATGTCATTTTGCCTAACATTTTTTGTTACTGATACACCAATAGTTTGTTTCTTATGAGATAATGCGTAATGGACGTTATTCTTGCAGGAATGCGGTCTTCAATTTGATGTTGTCGTAAAGTGTTAACTGTGTACACTAAGGGGTAAGACGTGTTTCACCTATTGAACTCTAAACAACAGCCTCCTTTGTTACATAAATGATCCGACATTCATTTGATATTGAAGCAGGATAATATTTAATTTTATGTAGTACTACACACATATCCACAAATAAATGGAACAGATGTATACATAGATGTCGACAGAACTCGTTGGATACTATTATCAAGTTACAAATCTGTATTTCAGTTTACAATATCATACTTATGTATCGATAGCCTTGTGTCAAGGGTATACACTTTGAGCTTTATCCCCATCGTATCAATGTTTTACTTAGATGTAAGTTTCACTGCCATGCCAGACTTTGTAATACTCCACACTTTGAGGCACAAAATTACAAAGTCTGTCGGGCATTAAAATTTAATTTTTCTGATGATAAAGTAAAACCGAATCATTTTATTTATTCCGTTTACCGTTGTCGTCCATCAGCGATTTTGTTCATTTAATACTGACCTGTGTAATTTAAAAAGTTATCATTCGCTGTTGACAGTGATTCGCTTTCAGTTGAAAATAGTTGTGAAGGAGAAGTAATGGCATTTTTCAACAAACTAGTTCCGGTAAAACCTAAGGAGACAAATACCACGTGTTAAATACACACAAATGCAGTAGATATATACCCATTTTATTGAATCACGGTACTAGTTTAGTTTATAATATTATTTTTATACATCATTATTTCAGTCTGCGTGGTGTGTAACCGCCATACTACTAACTAAGGTTTATTTGAGGATTTAAGTGTTACTAAGGATGTTTTACGAATTACCCTTAAAACTCCCTGTTATACACAGTTTACTTCAGACAGTCTTACAAACACGTTTTACAGACGTTTATCTCAACTTCTGTATTTATTTGAAATGTCGGATTATCGGCCTACACTGGTCGGGCAATCTGGAAACGCATTTGGTACACTTGTGCGCAAACCAACGTTGAACCCAATCCATTGGAACCCAGTAGAAACCATGCATCTAATAGTTTGTTGCAGTAGCACACTGAGGGCGGATTGCTGACCGAATCTATTCTCCTGATTTGATTCACTTACTGTTATATCAGTCAGTAACTGATCAATATTTGGTAGCAAACGGATAAATTGTTCGCGTTGATTTAGTTCCAATTTGAATACATTCTTTATTGTTCAATCAATTTGTAACTTCCTCTTCCACAAAACTTTTATAAGCCGAAGTATACGATCTCATGTATAAATGCAAGTTATGTACTTGAGAATCTAGGATCGAGTGGCCTGAAAACACTGATTTACAGCTCACCTCACACCGGATCAAACAGTATTGATCACTCTACTTATCCAATTGTAAATGGCCGGATGATAAATAGTCGAATTGAGTTAGTTTTGCCTATGGTATTTTATTTTCCCTATTTTCGGGTTGAAAGAGTATTTTTACTAACTTACATTATGCGTAATGTATTCTCATTTCAATAGATTTTGATCGGTTAATCATTTCCACCACGTAACATTGGTAATTGTTTTATCGAATTATTATTCGCTCGACTGCCCATCAAAACTTCATCTGAATGACAAACAATTTGACGTTTCTGCCAGTTTTGATGGTCCTAGAACAATTCTCCAGGAATTTTCTTTTCAGCACTAGTCTTATCAATTTTCGGGAGACCGTAAACGACACACTTAGCGCATTCGTTTTTCCGTCTTTTATTTACCCAGCTGTCATAGTTACATACGCATTTTTGATTCCCTCGAGCGGGCGGAGTTAAATCAGAATGACCAAGAAGCATTTCGACTTTGTGGGTCTGAGCGAAATTTACCACAACGTGTGTTCTACTCAACCGGTCGTGTTTTAATTTTTGAGATCCATCTGGTGTGGCAATATTCCAACCCCATCGATCTTCGCGGACGATTTCAATTTGAATCCAAAGGTGAGCTTCTAAGGAAAATAATAAATAGAGGGAATTTTGGGTAAGGTAGACATCACAAAACCAAACAGACAACAATGAAAGTAGTCAGTTAATATACTGGCATCTTAAGCGTTGTGGTTTTACTCTGATCTGTAAACGACTTTTAAATTGCAGATTATGTAGTGGTTTTTACTCGGTTAGACATTCGGAATTCATAGGCTTTTGGTCATTCATTGGTATTGATATGGGTAATTATTTCTCCTACTATATAATTTTTGTGTCTAGAAGCTGATTCTATGGGTATCATTGACCGCGAAACAGCATGCTTTCCATCCCTTCGTCCCTCTCTCCCAACATCCGTCTTTGTCTTACGTATCTCAATCCCTTTACCACCGGAATTTCTTCTAACAACCTCACTTATACGTTTAACGCACCCATGCTCGTTGAATAGATGATGATTTTCTGCATGCGTAGACCTGAAAATCATAATCGGATTATGCTGTCACTATCCAAATAGATGTTCCACTTGTGGTAAACCTACCGTGCACGAAAACCGGTTGTCTCTCCCCAGAATACTTCTTCTGGCTNCTGGCTATATTTACCCATAGATAATGCACACTTACACACAGAAAAACAGAAGAAAACAACACCAACCGTTTGCCCAGTGTAGCCATTTGGGTCTTTGAGCCCCTAGTGAATTGGATTTGATTTTGGAAAGTATGTCACACAGGCAACTGTCTGCACGCGCCACATTCTGAGTGAATAATAGCTGCACATCATGCTTAACTAGGTTAAACGAAAACCCTTGTGATTTTGTCATATGCTATCATGTTTAAACATTTATAAAAATGTTTAAAAAGAAACACACGTTACTAAAAATGTCAACAAATCTTGATTATGAAGCATTCCTTGAGTAATATCCCTAATCAGTTTACGCGTTAAAATTTCAAATAAATTTAGTTCCAGTTATTTTTTTCAGTTAGTTTTCAAAAACCCCAAACTAATGAAAAGTCTCTGAGTTCTCCGATCCACGTTCAAACTTCCTGTTAGCTTTATCTTTAAATAGTAGTTAGATTAAACAGTATTTCTTTGATTCGCTAGATATAAAGGTTTGTAAAACCATCAATATGTCTATATCTGTTGATACCGTACTGTAGCTATGCTCCTAAATGTTTGACAGTTGATCGCATGGCTTGGTTACTCGAGTTCAACCTTCAATGGAGACCTGAAATAGCCTGATCATCTGATTAGCAGTAGTGAAAACACCAATTCTGTCCATTTTTCGTAGTTCGCTTTCACACAAAAAGCGTTTACGGAAGGAGAAAATTGCTTTTTTCTGTCTTGATTATTTGATAATCATTTGTATAGCGCCACAGGCAAATACTTGAATATGAAATGGGTGTCAAAGGATTTTCAATCTAGTGTTATTGATATCATTACCAACGGAGAAGAAAAGATCATATTTGGCAGTCATTTATGCGTTGATCGCTTACGGGGTACGCAGATCTCACAGAGCACCCACGTCATGATTGTACTTTCATTCGTATTGATAACGATGCCCATCTTTCAATGGACCGACATTGATTGTGGTGTAGTGATATGGTTATAAAACACTGCCATATGCGTTTTTTGCAATCCGACGAGATTGTAACATGTAGTTTTCATTTAGATCACACGTAGAGTAAAATGCATTAGAAACCATTTGTTGCAAGGATTATGCAGGATTATTACACATACATTATGAACCACTTTGAGTCTATGACGCTCGCCGAATATGAAATTTAAGTGCCATTCTTCTGATCAAGCTTTTTTAAGTAAATGCCAACTATCACCTAGGCGACATTTAGTCGAGTGTGA